ATATATATATATATATATATATATATATATATATTGAATATTCATACTGCTATGTTTTGCAATATGGAGATCATTATCTTCTCATTTCAACATATACAATAAATGCAATTATTGTTTTAGGCCAGTAATAATAACTCCCTAATGTACATGAAAAAATTAACCATGCATTAATCAAAATATGTTGCATGAATACCATAATATGACACAATTTGATAATTGTTAATAGAAATGAGACGTAGAAAATGATTTTTATAGGAATATTGCTTCTTACATAGCCAGTGCAACGGAGAACTAAAATTGTGCAAACGATGACTTAAAACTTTCGAAAAAATGGTACTTGCTTTTATTTTTATCACATTACAAAACTATTTAAATTCTATCATGACGCGTTTTACCGAGCCATTTTCCGATCAAATGAGGCGGCTTTATCTAATAGCTATTTATTTTTAACCTCAGCTGTTTTTCGTCTGCTCCAAAAAGTAAAAAAATATGAGTGCCGGATACGATCGACTAGCTGACTTATGGAAGATTTTGAATCCTCTTTTTGAAAAGATGTTGTCCATGAATGGTCTTACAAAGACAGAGCATGCCCAAGTTTGCAATTGTGTGTATGGTTACTGTATAAGTGTGGACACAACGGTCAGCATTTCTGACAATAGTAAAGTAATAGGCTTTGAATTATATAAGCGCCTTCGCCAGTTTTTTAAAAACCATGTTGTATCGCTTAAATCTGTATGCTTTTTGTTTCATACTGACACATTATTTAGAAAGCAATTGCTTTAAACGGTTCGGAACTCTTATCATTTTTTGAAAAATATTGGATCAATTACTCCCTGGCAGCAAAATACATTGATCACAGATGCAATTATCTTAATAGAAACTGGGTCAAAACTAAAGTTGACGAAGGTTCGAAGGACATAGTCATAGTTTACTCGGTATGTGTTTGATATTTTCATCTTCTCTGTTTTTATATTTTTTCTATTGACTAAACTTTATCCTTTTAAGCTGGCTCTGGTTATATGGAAGGAAGAGTTATTTAAGCCATGCAGCAGGGCTCTTATTAGTGCACTCCTTGATGAAGTTGAGAAGGAGCGTAGGGGAGAATGTGTATCAACTTCAAGATTATGCATTGTAATAAACAGCCTTGTGGAACTGTGCATAACATCAGAATCACATCCTACTGCGTCTTTGAACACAAGTGTCTCCCCTGTTACTACTCGTGGACATGATAATGTTCCTTCAACACAAGTTCCTTCTTATAGTCCACCCGATGCTCATCTTGACTGGCGACAAGGTCTTCCTGTTTACAGAGATCACTTTGAACAGCCCTTCCTTCGAGAAACCGTTCGCTATTATGAAACTGAGAGCAGTGTATATTTAGCCAGGCATTCAGTGACAGACTATTTAAAATGGGTTTGTGATTCAACTACTTTCATTGGAAAATGCAATTTCATCTGTTATATATTCATATTTTGCTTTTTATACTTTCAGGCTGAGGTTTGTGTCGAAAACGAAAAGAGACGAGCTGATTCTTATCTCCACAAAAGCACCCTTCATGAACTCATAAAGACAACCTATGATTGCCTTATCGGAAACCATATTGAAACCATTGCTGCCGAATTTATTAACCTCTTGAAGGATAACAGGATTGAGGGTGCGTATTGTGAAATTATTTTCTTTATTTTCGACGTCTATCTATGTGTAACTTTCGAGTGGTCATTTGTAGATTTGGCCAGAATGTACAAAGCTTTAATTCGCTTTGAGGAAGGTGAAAGTCGCCTCGTCCAAATGTTAGAGCTGTATGTAGATGAGGTTGGCTCAGATGCTTTAAAACAAGTTTGCGAGACTGCCAAAACGGTGAGTTGCCTATTTTATTCTCTTGTTATTTATGGAATCTAATGCGCAGTTAATGGGTTTATGGAGCACCTGACAGATTATGCAAAGTAGTCTATTAGGCAAAATGAATAAAAAGTTAAAATGCATCAACCATCTTGCCATTGCGTATTACCCTCTCCTCTAACCTGTAGACCATTTTCATTGGCCCACTATTTTCCTATGCTAGTTCGTATTGGTTGACATTTTCTATCTTAGTCTGCTTCTAATTCCTCAGTCACAATATGCCTATTGGCTTGCACAAATGTCGTTAAAATCTATAATCTGATATTCTTTTATTTAAGGCACCCAAGATCTTCGTAGATACAATTATAGAGGTCCAGCTAAAGTGTGAAAATTTACTTCAAAATGCCTTTTCCAAGAACGCGTCTTTCTCTCGAGCCATTGACAAGGGATGTGAGCGTTTCATTAACCGAAATGCTATTACAGAGGCGCTTGGTAGCACACGAAAGACACCTGAGCTCGTTGCAAAGTATGCTGATATTCTCCTTCGAAAGGGGTAGGCCATTCTCTTTTCCCCAGCATTTATATGCGTGCACCATCTGATTGTCGGCTACTTTTACTAGTTCGCTCATCTGATTTCCTTTTTTGTGTGTGTATTCTTTTCAAGGTCATCGCAAGCACACTCCTTTCGCAGCTATTAACTTTTAACCCGGGTTAATAAGTGGAGCTATATTTTCCATTTTAATTTTTTATAGTACAAGGGATGCTCAAAATGTTGATCTCGATGAAGCATTTGGCCATGTGGTATGTTTTATTGTACTTTATTGATACATATCTGTTTTTGTTTACTGGCCAATTATAATTGTGTTTACTAGTTAGTGTTTACGTAACCTTTTGTATTGTTTACTTTTGAACCATTAAAGTATTCTGTGCATGTGTGGGGATTTAGTGTACTTTATCCACTGCGCCACCTGGGCACATTGGAAGGAAACATTTTCCTTGACAGAAAGATGGCATTCTAGTGTGGGAAATTATTTTTGTCATTATTTAGCTGAAATTAAAAATTTAAGGTTAGTAAAGTGGTTTAAACCTTATCTTTGCCAAAATATATGCTTCTTAAGTTCATATTTCTTTTCACGTAGAATTAAGACTAATCCTTTCACATCTTGAGAAAGAGTAGAAATCAGTGTTTCAGTATGCTATTTCCTTACTTGAACGTTGCCATCAGTTTCCCAAAAGAAGCTTGCTGATCAAAATCGTAACACTTATTTAGATTTGCAGCAGCATTAGAGTTCTCTTTCCTCTTTTTGAATGAATTTGTAAAGAAATTTATCTGTAATCTTGATCACTCTAGATGAAAGTATTCAAATTTGTGGAGGACAAGGATATTTTCCAGAAATTCTACTCTAACATGCTAGCTCGTCGTTTGGTTCACAATCAGTCAATCTCTGAGGATGCTGAGGGTGCAATGATTACCCTTTTGAGAAATTCCTGTGGTCTGGAATACACTTCCAAACTACAGAGGATGTTCCAGGATGTAACTTCTAGTCGAGATCTCAATACCTGTTTTAACGAATGGCTCAAAACTAAGAAGGAGGAGAGAAGGGACCAACCGGATAATCTTTCAAGTAAGGCTACCCTTCTTTCGAATTGCATAACTCAATCTGAAGTTGATGTAGAATTACTAAGTTCATCAAAAGTGTTCCGGGTTCTCTCTTTTAAGAAACTTACTTTTTGTCACCTCTTGTTTGTTTGAATTAACTAAGGTTTTTTAATGTGCACTATTGGACAGTGATCTCGTGACCCCCGTTTTGGCGAAGATGCATATTAACCACTACGCCATTGGTGTATTTCTCGTGCACTTTATTCTTCTGCGTACTCGTACTTTGTGCATTTTATTCGGTGTTTTGTTGCTTTTTAAGAAGATAACAAAATAGTCCTATTTCCTGAACAAATCTTAAGGGATTTGGATGCAGTGATAAAACCATATTGATCGCTGTATTTTCCTAATCTCCATAACTGTTACACAGTTTAAATAATAGAATTGGAGAGCTTTATGTACCATATGAAAAAAATGAATTAGCCGTAGTAAGTTCTGTTCAAGTGAAATGGGGTGAGGGCTTCTTGATTAATTGTCAAAATAGTGTGAAGGTTGCCATATCATCAAATTGCGAAGCTTGATTGACTGTAATTTTATGAAATTAAATTGTGTCAGTGACGGCATGGTTTGTCGTTTGACTAGATCTCCATCAGTTCATTATTTTGCTTTGAAAACATAACATATGACAAAACTCTGATTCTGTCGTCCCTGTCCTGACTAATTTATTTATATCAAATGGTAGGCGTTTTGATGGTTATCATTAGGCCTTTAGTTGACTTCAGGCTTCACAGAGGGGAAGGAACATCAAGGTGAAAAATGCCGAGAGGGGGGAGGGAACAGAAGAGCGTTTCAGAGACGAGGGTTGAAAATTTAGAAAAAATGTGATGTAGTACTGTAAGGGTTGAAAATTTAGAAAAAATGTGATGTAGTACTGTGGTAGTGGTCGAATATGTTATACAGGGGGGGGGGCCTTGGTAGTTTGAAGTTAACTGCCAGTTAATAGACTTCTTTGCCGTATGAGTATACGTTGCCCAGGGTGCACCACGTGAAGGTAAGTCTATCGCACACCCCGTGCCATGCAACATAATATAAATCAATACAGTTGCTTATCTTGTTCCATTTGTTGAGTTGTTACCTAAGGCTAACAGCTAACGACAGAAAAAAAAAACAGCATTCCAAAAAGGTAGAAGAGCACAAAATTTGTGCAGTCCAAAATTTGAGACATCGAATGTGTAACAGAGCTGGAAAGATTGAAACATGCAGTTGAGTGTGATAAAATCGCCAACATACTTTGTCGTCAAGTTCTGCCAACGTTGTATGAAATTGATCACTGATTGGCTGGGGGGGGGAGGTCTTTATATCCACGTTCACACTCTCCAGAATATCCTATTGTGCATGAGACTCACTTATTTGATCGCCTTTGGTATGCACTGATTTGCATAGGCTACTTGAGGGCACACCATGAGACTCTATGGGAAGGAGAGACTTTTACAAGATTTAACTGGGCTGTAAGGCCGAGATAAATAGACTTGAGAAATTAGTGATAAGCATTATTCACTTTGACCTTCAGCAGATTTACACTTTGACTGCCAAGCCGACGTAGTTTTACGCCTATGTTGTGGATTAAAACGAGTCTTTTTACGCTTTTTCAGATATGGCTGATATTACGATCATGGTGCTCAGCTCTAACGCTTGGCCTTTCCAAGCTCAGTCTCAACTGAATCTCCCATATGAGGTTAGTTTTAGTCGGCACGTTATATTCAAACAAGTTTTAATATAATCCTTATTCGTTCTTTTCTTCGCTGCAGTTGGAGAAGTGCCTAAAAGTGTTTACGGAATTCTACCAGGGCCACCACGAGGGTCGAAAGTTGTCTTGGTGCTATCAACTGTGCAGAGGTGAAGTTGTGTCCCTCTACACTAAAATGCGATACACCTTTGCAGTGCGTTTCTTGCAACTAATTTTCCCTTTTACTTATTCTCCCTCCTAAACAAACTGGTGGTTCTGGTTGTTGCAGGTGTCAACCTACCAAATGGCGATTCTCATGCTGTTCAACAATGCCAATTGCTATTCAATTCGCCAGATTAGGGAACTCACTAATCTCGATGAAAATATGCTAAATCAAATTCTCAGCATTTTTCTGAAAGCTAGGATTCTTATGGTGGCCGCAGGTGATGCTCCGGAGGAACAGTTGAGACAACGGCAGATTGAAGAGTCGGCTTTGGCTAACACTTCTGATGCCCCCCCAACCCTTACACCGGATGTCCTCCTAACGCTCTTCTTCAATTATAATAAGCAAGTTATCTCTGGATACGCTTTTATCTTAAACAGTTGTATTCTTTTTAATTTTCGAAATTCGATTTCAACAATATCGTTTAGTATTGTTTCAATTCCGTTATGCGGTGTTGAACTGCTCCTTTCGCCATATTTCAGCCAAGTTGCACTTATTTCACTTTTTATGGGTTATGTGTTAGAAGCGAAATGGAATATTTTTGAATCTCCTAACAGAATGCATTAAATCCCATAAGCGGAATTATTGGTCACTCGATTTTTCAACTACTATTTTGTACTCACACCCTCAAATTAAATTTTAGCTGTCCTACACATGTCGGACTATAGGTTCTGTTCCGGTTCTGAACTATTGAAGCCATAGAGTGTATCACTTTGATATTCCTAGTAGGCTACAACCTTGGCCTTTAAATACTGGATTAATGTTAAGTAAAATGACTTTAATGGAGTGAGAAACAAACCGTATTGGCATAGTAATCATTTTGTTGCGGCTACGAGTTCTGCTGCTTTTCAATTGTGATCGCTCTGATTCTCTGATTATATTAGATTAATTAAGTTTTTATAATTATTTTACCTTTAAGTGATTCTCAGTGATTGCTAGGGTGGGGTACACTGAAGTCTCCTATTGTAAATTCCATTTCACTCGCCTCTGATTGGTTATCTCAATCACTAGTTATTCTCCAGTAATTGTTAAACCTGTGGCGCCTGCGTCTACTACTGGATTTTAGAAATTGCAGTAAATATTTTATCTCTCAAGTTAAAAAAAGGGGTGAAGCGGGACACTTGTGCGATCTGTTTTAAAATAATGGTTGTGGAGACCTCTTTAAATCACCAACCAAACACAAATCTCTCCTTGAATATCAGGTTATGTAGTATTTTCACCTTCATTAGTAATTTCAAAATATCTTCTAAAGTTATGATGAGAGAGGGAGACTAAACTTGTCGATTTCCATTAAGTCAGGGCGAGTGAAAAGTTTATAGGCAAATTCCATTATTTATTTATGTAAATAGTTACTTCATTCATTTTCTACATAGGCTCCATTGTTGTATTCTATAGTTACCCCTGTAACTTCTCTCATGGTAGAATTAGGGTAGGTGCCTCTAGCACCATGAAATTACATGCTTTTCACTTCATCTAAAAATGTACATCGAGAGCCCTTAAGGTGTTCTTTCGGTTTTGGAAACAGAAAGTGCCTGAGGAAGCTAGATAGACGTGGAAGTGTTTTACATCGAAATTCGCATTTTCATGTTGAAACAAAGTTTGAATAAACAGTTTTCCGCATCATTTTTTTGGTATTAGTGTCTTCAACTTTCTCAAAATACCTTCATAATAACCTTGAGGTGACCGTTTTCTGTCCTTCCAGAAGGTCTACCAATTTTACTCTTATTGAATCTCAAAACCAGTGATCAGGACCCTCTTAATAGATCTTTTAGTTTTGACCTTGGCAGCCCCAGTTGTGCCTCTCTTATGCCTCTTTTGATTGAATTACGTTTTCCAGATCAAATTGGTGATCCAGATTTCATCACAGCGCTCGGAAAAAATATCCTCATTCACTTTCGCCCTTGCCAAAGTTGGTAAATGAAGTTCAGTTCTATGGATCAACTGTTGTTCTCGCAACTCTTTTGAAACTTGGTCAATTCAAAATTTATAGTGAGAATTAAAAATGCCGATTTATGTGCTATTCCTATTGCATTAGAAATTTCCTCCTCAATGGTAGCTCGTCCACTTTGTTGCACAAGATTCCACTAGGCACAAGAGAGGTGTTTTCATAATTTCTTGCTGTCGTGAGTCTCCCTCCTCTCACCTCGTGGGTCGTCATCAAGTTGCACTCTTCTCCTTTTAATTCAATCATGCCTGCTCCATGTGGCGTAGAGTCCTCATAAACCTGTTGTTAAGCTTCTATGATCTGGGCGGGTCTCCAGTTTAGTTTAGTCAACTGTGTTATTTTAGCCCTGACCTTAAAATTTGTAACTTTAAGGGTTGAAAATTGCTGTCTATTTTGAGATGCAACCTCTCTTTATCCTGATCTTACATTGAATGATTAGACAGCTGTGTCATTGAGGAGGCTCTAAAGATATGTTTGTACTTGTAAATATTTGTTCTATTTAGAGTTAAGACAATTGCTTGAGAATTGTTTGACTCATCCTCGTATTTAGTTTCAATAACTAGAAGAGGCCCTTGCTGGTTCTAATCGTTTCACAGCAGGGAAAAGGTAGACGGTTATATGCCATTGTCTCTCAACGCTCTATTCGTAACACTCCTAGAAGTTAAGGAGATGTCATTCTTGTATAGTTTACAGATCTCATAAGTGCAGCGAAGGTCACGTAGCTATTATGACATTAGATTCAATGATTGCAAGTGGTTGGCATTTTAGTGGCATGTAAAAATGCCAAAAGACACTTTTCCAACAAAACTGCGTACATCTGCACTCCAGTGTTATCTGAGATGCTGCCAAACTTGTACTTTTTTCGGTTTGTTTTATGTTGTATATTCTTCAGGGAAATATTTAGTCGAAGTCGCGCTTCATTTACGGATTAAAACAGGAATCAAAACCGATATATATATATATATATACATTGTTGATATTCATCTAAATCCGTCTGTTAGTAGCGTCGCACTCCTTTCTCCTCGAGTTTTTCCCAGTGCCTTTGGAGGTGGGTTTTTTGGCCACACTATACCCGATGTAATTGAAGATCTTTTGCACCCTGTTCAGTTTTGTCCTTTTTCTTGACTTCATGCAGGCGTCCTTTCCTGTTTTCGCTGTGATATTTGATGTCACTTAAGAGGATGTAGTTAATATGTGAATATCACATAGAATCTCAGAGGAAACCCTCTATTTTGAGTTCACCAAGCTAATTCTTCACACACAAACACACAAGGGAGTTGCCTATCAGGCGTGAGAGAATGAAAAGGGGGTCTGAGTGAAGCCCTTACTTAGTGATAACCGTCATTTTTTTCACTTGCATCAAGGGAGTCAAAAAAGATAAACCGAAAATCTATAGCGGTCGTATGGAACCTCCACATCCACTCGGTGGCATATAGGCCATATTCCCTAACTAGTTTTGGATAAATGTTCTTTAAGCATGCCTATTCATGCTTACTCTACCTGATTTTCTCGTTGCCACTTGGGGAATGTTCTAAGTGTTTTTTTGTTCTTGCAATTTCTAGCAAGCGTATTCGTGTGAATCTCAACATGCCAGTTAAAAGTGAAGTGAAACAGGAGACGGAAACAACTCTTGCAAACGTTGAATGTGATCGTAAACTCGGCATACAGGTTTCATTCGCTACTACTGTTTTAATGTTTTGAAGAGTTGTCTGCAGTGACTAATTTATGTATTTCTAGGCATGCATTGTTCGAATTATGAAGACAAGAAAGAGGTTAGATCACCAGCAATTGGTAAGAGAGGTTATAGATCAGATGGCGTCCCGTTTCAATCCTCCCGTCTCACAAATTAAGGTGAGTGTCAAAAGTACATATCCTAAAGTACAACGCGTTCTTTCAACTTGCTTCAAACTGTTAAATCTATTTCCATTTAGCTGTGCATTAACTCTCTAATTGAGCGTGACTTCATTAAGCGGGATCCGAACAATCTGAACATCTACGAGTATATTGCCTAATATAAATGGCTGGGCCCGCTTCTGTTTCCATTTTCATACACATGGACACGAATCGTCATTTAGTATCATTTTCTCTTTTTTGAAATGTTTTACATCTCCTGGCTTAATTTCTTCTCCCAACCCTCAGCCCTCCCCCCCCCCCCCCCCCCCCCCCCNTTATTTTTTTCCCCCCCCCCCCCCCCCCCCCCCCCCCCCCCCACCTCCCAGTTGTAATCCCATTTTATGTGCGTCTCACACGTGTATAGTTATTACCTGGTTACGACATTGTTTTTTTCCTTTTTGCGTTTGGTGCGCGGGAAATTAATTTGGCTTATGTCCTGAATTAGTAACAGTTAACTATTTTTAGTTGCCATTGGTATATTTCTGGGGTATAGCAAACTCACTTTTATAGACTTATAACTACTCAAACAAGGTTTAAAAAGCGTATTTACTTTCATATGGCAAGCGAACTCTCGGCCGTGTTGGTATCTATTAGTTACAGTGATAATAACTTCGAAGGTGGTTCTTCACTATTAGGTTCGAGGTTGGAAGTCCTACAATTAATAATCCGTTGCATGATGGATGTAGCTTAAGTGACCTGTTGGATCCGATATTCAAATACACAGCCCCCAAAAAGGAGAGGATAAGGGTAGTGACTGGAAGATGCTTTATTGATTAGCTATGCCACCACATTTAACCCCCCCCCCCCTCCCCCGGTAAGTTGTAGTGACTGGCCAAAGGATTGATTGGCCGTTGCGCGATCTGTTAAAGCGATAGTGTGGTGTTCCTTTTCACGTCAAGGTTTTCATTCATTTTCCAAGCAGTTCTTTGTTCATATAAGATTCGATGTTAGCAATAGGTGATCGTAAGCTACGGTCCAGGTGAGCCATGACACGAAAGGAATATCTCATTACTCGAACTGGATTTCAAACATATTTGGACTAAATTTAGACTTTGATTAGATCAAGCGCTTTGTACCACCTCAGATGCATAGTTGGCTGTGATCTAAATTAATGCAAGGCCGTAAGTTCTCACACTTTACAACAACTGTGCTACACAGGTTATCTCTACGATATTAAGAGAGATGGCTGCTTGGCCCGTGACTAGAAGGAATCGAATGATGATTAAAACTACCCACTCTTCATCTAAGAAATGTATGCACTGTTTGCGTCGAAGTAGTGTGACATGTAAGGCGTACATTGACCGATCAAAATAAGAATGCAGGGCTAATTGACAGTTTACTTGATGGTGGTTTTTGGGTCTAATTACGTTTTTCATGTACAGTCTAGGAGACTTGAAAGCTTATTTGTTAATTTAATGCCCGCTGAGATGCCATTTTGAAAGCACTTTGCTTCCTACACCCTGAGTGCTTACACCTTAGATCGATTGTCTGCTGTGTATAACCTATCACAGGACTTTTAAGCTGTCTATTGATAATCCTACTATCCGGGTAAAGCCTCCATATTGGTTTGCACCATGTCTTCTTAGTCTTTTTAGCTTATCTGACTTCGTTTCTCTGTTTTCTTCTAATATCACTAATTTGCTAAATTCCTTTCAGCCAATGCGGTCGCAAATTTTGCAAGGACTACAGTTTTATAACTTATTAACATCTGCATCTATATTTTAGTTAATATTAGTCAATTTTTTAGCTAATACTACTATTTTTACAAGGAAAGACCTTTATTATCTCACTAAAGTAGCCTATTTAGCATAGGAACTGGGTAAGACTAAGAAATCTGCTTTGAAACTAATGAAAAATCCCGTATGCTAGTTTACTGCCGATATTTGTGAGGTAAAATGCAATTGACCATTTGATTTCTCATCATGGGAATTCAAGTCACTTAAAAGAATGATGGGCATCGAAATGGTGAAATTCATGCCGATAACCATCTCTTTAAACACACTTAGAACTAAAGAAAAATATTTAAATTGAGAGGACACCCAATTGTACAAATTAAATAGATGAAAGTTTAAACAAATTTCTTGTTGATTTTAATAAAAGCACTCATTAATTAGTTGTCTTTTAACTGGTGTTCCAATTAAATCATCTCATATTAACTAACGTTTGAGGCTTAAAATATTAGTTCTCATTCGATCAATTTAAAAATTAGTGGAGATCAAAGGAAAAAAGCATATTCTATTGAGGAATACCTAAAAGGATCAAAGGAATCTCCTTTGTGGTGGAACGGCTCGGAAGGTGCGTCCGTGGAACTGATCTTGAAGTGAGCAAGTGAGATGGTGTCGTGCATAAGACGAGGCAGCATAGCGCAGAACAATTTGCATTTCACGTATAAGTTTTACAATAGTTCTGAATTCATATTTTGCCTTATTCACTACAAAAATCCCTCCCTCCCCCCTTCCCCCCCGCCCCCCTTCCCCTCCC